CAACCGAAGAGCCAAGCAGCCCTGGGACTGCCTCTTTGGAAAGGGATAAGCAAACCCAGGTAGCACTGAGCTCCTGGCTGCAGGTTTTGGATGGGATGGAGAAGGTGCTGCTTGCTCCTGCCTGCTCTTCCCAGGGACAAAGGGAAGGCTTGCTGGGAAAACACCGCTCTGTGTTTCTAAAGCGGCAGCACATCAGGGGCACAATCACAGTGTGAACAAATACTAACAATAATACCAACTTATTGGAGATAATTTCTGCATACAGCATCTCATTAACCTGTGGGATCCTGTGCCCCGAGGTGGTACTGAGACCACGAATCTAGCAGGAATCAGTAGTGGGTTGAACCTCTAAATAGATAATGAGAACATACAGAGAGCTACACTAGGCAAAGTAAACATTTACAAGGGATATAAACTCTCATGCTCCGAGGCATAAAAGCCACTAGACAATGAGGGTTAAAGAGAAGTGTCCACTTTGGGCAAGCAGCACCCCTGCCCCAGCCACGGGCAGGCAGTGGCTGCTCCCAGGACCCCGGTGGCTTCCCACGACAGATGCCACACGATGCTCCCCGCCTCCCGCCTGCCCCCAACACGTCCAGGAATATTCACCAACACTCGACCACCCACCTTCCCCCCTCTCCACCCCCCGAGGAGGAGGCGAGGTGGGCAGCGAGGCAGGGAGCAGGGGTGGACAGGGGGTGCTGAGCCAGGGGCCAGGGGCTGCAGCGGGGTGAGACCACGGTCACGGGTGGGAGGAGGAACACGGAGGGTGATTTCTCCCAGTCTCTGTGCTTCCCCGTGACAGGCTGCCTGCGCAGCCCCCTCCAGCCTCTGAGGGGGGTTCATGGCTCTATAATTTAACGGTGGTGGGGGGGGGGGTGTGTGTGTCTAGAGCAGAGCTGTCCCATCTGTGCGTGGACTGCTGGCATCTCTGCTTTCCAGAGAGGGACCTGTTCTCCTCCTGTGAACAGCTCATTGGCTCCGTCTCTGCTCACAGTACCAGGCAGAGGCCTGTCAGTTCCTGACTCTGCAGCACATTTTCAGCCGTGCCGTAATCAAAACACCGTGTCATGGGGTGATGGGGCATTCCAGGGTGGAAGGGGCTTCGGGAGGTCTCTCGACCTTGCTCACAGCAGGATCAGCAACGAGGCCAGACCAGGATGCTCGGGGCTTCATGCAGCCTGGCCTTGAAAACCCTTGAGGACAGGGACAGCACAGCCTCTCTGAGTGACCTCTTCCACCGCTGGACCCTCCTTGTGAGGGAAAAGTTTGAGGCTTTTCCTCATACCTGGTTTACAACTTGCTTTTTTCAACCTGTGCCCATTGCCTCTCTGTGTTGGGGGCCCACAGCTGCACCATTCCCACTGCGAGCCCGTGAGTGCCAAGCGAGGGGGATAATCCCTTCCCTCCAGCTCCTGGCCAGGATGCTGCCGGGCATCCTCACCGCCAGCACATGCTGCAGGCTGACGCCCAGCCCCCAGTCAGCCCGCAGCCCCAGGGTCCCTCCAGCAGCCAGCCGGTCCTCAGCCCGTTTTGTTGCAAAGTGCTCCTTTCCCCGGAGCAGGATTTTTATGTCTGCCTTGGCTGGATTTCACCCTCCTCCCCCAGCCTGCCCAGGTGCCTCCGCGCCACAGCCCTACTCTGGAGCACACTGACGGCGCTCCTCGGCTTGGCACCGATCTGAAAGCCTGCCGAGGCGTGCTCTTTCCCGGTTGTGGGTGAAGATGCCGACCAGGACGGCTGGACCCCCGCAGCGCTGTGCGTGCCACCAGCACCCAGCCGGAGCCTGGCATTAACCAACACCTCCGAGCTCGACCACCCAACCGCTTCTTCTCCCACCTAACTGCCCACCCGCCCACACCGCAGCATTTCACTCGTGCCCTGTGCCGTCAGAGCGCCGTGGTCTGCTGGAGGTGCCTCTCGGAGAGCCCCTGTCCGGTCACTGCTGCGGGGTGACAGCCACCAAAAGGCGGGAGAAGCGTGCAGGGCGGGTGACCTGCAGAGGGAACACGTTTGCAGGAGCCTCAGGTGATGCCAGCTTTCAAAGCTCTGTGCTGACAGCAAAGCCACGTGTTTGGTTCCTTTAGAGAAAAGTATTTGATTAATTTATTCTCTGGGCCGCGGTAGTTATTTACAAGCCATGAGAAAAAGGAAATTCCCTGTTGATACGCAGGGTTTTTTTGTTTGGTTGGTTTTTGGTTTTGTTTTTTTTTTTTTTGCAGGGGAGGAAGGGGAGAGATCTGAGGGTGAGGACCATGTGTGTGCCGGGCACGGAGGTGCAGCGGGGAGGGGTTCCTGTGTGAGAGGCAGGGAAGGACCCGGGGCTGGCGGGGGGAGAAGCATCTCCCGTTCAGATGAACAGCGGGGAAGCTGGAGAAGAGATAAGCACAGAGCAAGAAGCTGAATCCGCACAGCTCCCGCTTCCAGCTCAGCGACGCCCGGGAGCTGGATGGTCTCCCCTGCCCCGAGGGCGAGTGACAGACCCCCAGCAGACGCGGGACAAACCCCAGCGAGGGACTGGTTTCCTCACAGCAGCACGAGCGATGGCAGCAGCAACAAGCATGCAACAAAACACCGCCTGTGTCTTATCATGTAGACATTTCTCACACGTCTCTAAGCACTTAACTCACACAATTGCTTAATTACTAGCAGAAATTCATGGCTAGTGATTAAAAATCTTATCAAGGAAGCACATTCCTAGCAGGGACTCCGAAAACTACGACAAGGCAGCAGCAGGTCGTGAAATGAATCCCTGAGACCTGGCACAACAATCGTGCGCCCTTGGCACGGCGATTTGGACATTTCGGAGCAAGCGGGGATGTGCCAGCAGCACCAGAGCTGTTCCATCACCTGGTTCACAGGCAGCCCCTCAGGGGCGGTGGTGCTTTCCCTAGCAGGGCTCTGAAACTGGTCCTGCAAAGGACAGGAGTCAAGGAAGGATTGAGAAGGTATTTTGGATGCTAGTTAGCAAATTCTCACTTAAATGAGAAGGAGAACCTACAGGAATTGCAGCTGACCTTCACACTAGCTGGAGCAGAAGGTTGTTATTAAAGGAACCAGTGAGAGGAACAGTGCAGTTATTCAATATAATGGGTCACACAAGCCTATGTGTAGTTAAAAATAAAATCTATTACCCGAGAAAATCAGCTCAGACGACTCTACATCACCGAACCCTCACTGCACCTCCCCTGGCTGAGCACCGCCAAGCCCCATGTCCTGCAGTTTTGCCATCCCACCCTGGCCACTGGTGACTTCCCCAAAAAGAAGGAAGAGCAAGTATTATTCCCCTTAGCTGGGGAAGGGACTGGGGCTCACAGCCAGATTTTCAATGAAAGGTGCTCCGAAAGAAGGCGACAGATTCCCACAAGGTTTCTGAAAGCCTGTAAACCTCCACTTTCACCAGGAATGATGCGACCAACGCACCCGGGTTTTCAAGATGTTCGCTCTCAGCAGGAGGATGACCCTGGAGAGAGGGGGGAGCTGAGGGCGTCGGTGAAGAACCAGCCCAGGAGGGACTGGGCGGGAGAGGAGGGGACCAGCAAGGCAGGACCCACCTGGACATGGACACCACCAAGCCAGGCTGCTGGTCCCCGGGCTCTGAGGTGTGATCACAGCTTGTGGCCAGGCGAAGGAGCTGATGGAAGCTCTGATCTTCACCTGAGGTGAAGCAGCCGGCTGTGCCATCGCAGCCAGGCCGGCCTGGGTGAGGACAGGAGAAACGTACCAAAACCAGTGCCTACGCGCGTGTGTGTGTCCATCAGAAATGGCATGAAACAAGGACCAAACCTCATGCTCTTTTCAGACAAGACTTGCTTTCAGGTCTTCACTTTTTATCCTCGCAAACCGCATCTGATACCCTCTCAGCAGCTTCTTCTGAGGTTGTATTTTACGGGTAAAAATCGGTTTCCACACAACCCGTGACATAATTTCCATAGCCAGTTTCTAACTCTAATACACACATAAAGTGGCAGATTTTTTCTTAACTCATAAGTGATCTGGTAGAACCCAATTTGCAGAACGTAATCAAGGCTAGTAACGAAGACTAAGCCCAAAATGAAGAATAAGCCAAAAGACGAAGCCTGGACATTAAACCACTGTCAGCAACTCCCACTTTCCTATTATGAGGGGTTTTTAATAAATCACCACATCCCAGAGCCATGTGACTACAGGTGAAATCCCAGTTTGGGGGGATTTTGCTCAGTAACTCCCTGACCTTGCTGACTCCAAAGAGTCACCTGAAGGGCTTGGAAAGCCATAGGGAAAGAGAGTCCCCAGGTTATCACCACTTTTCAAATCATATGGTACTTAGGGGCCCGATTCATGACTTTTAACACGGATTTGGGTCTCAGAATACTGCTCTCCCTCGTGGCCTCTGTCACGCCCAGGCCGAAGGAGGCAGAGCTTGGGGACAAATCCCAGTTTGCACCAATGCTCTGCTCGCCCCGGGGTCCCGCACACCCTCCGCTCCCACTGGCCACGGCCCGGCGCTTCCCACCGCGAGGCTCCAAGAGGGGAAGGAAATTACAGAAATACAGCGTCCTGAGGACAGCTCAGTGTCCCCGCCGGAGCTGGCTGGGTGGGCACCGTTTTGCACAGAGAAATGTTGAGGTCGGGGCACGTCTAGCCCCCCCAGGGCCAGCGACCTCGCCCGTGGGACAGCACGGCGGGACACGGCGTGTTCGGAGGGAACGGGTGGCTTGGAGCAAAGCCTGTCTCAAGCAGGAAGAGCCTGGGGAGGCCGGGGGCTCTTTCAGCATCCCAGTGAAAACCATTTGCTTTGGCCGTTTACAGGCGGGACGACCCCCCCGCGCTGGGGAGCCCGCTCTTCCTCCGCACCTCCCCTTCCCCTCCGGCCCTGTGGCTTCTGCCTCACGCTCGCTTCAGCATCCACGCTCTCCTCCTGAAATGCTTGCCATCTTTTTCCATTCCTTTTATTTTATTTTATTTTATTTTTTTCCTACATCCCTCCCCCCCACCACCACCCCTTTTTGAAGACTCACCAGGCACCATTCCTGTCAGCGCTGGAGCGGAGTAGCTGCCCTGTCCGGCGGGAGGGACGTGCGGGGGGTATCCTGGGAGGGTTGTGCTTGCCAGCTCGCGACCTGAGGAATCAAACCAACAAATCACCACGTGAGCATCGCGACGAGCGGACACGGTTTTACATCTCCCCCAGCGCCCAGAACACAGCCATGCATTTGTCATCACTGCTCTGCGAGGGCCAGCGTGGGATTTCCAGCCTGGCAGGGAGGGGAGGCACAGTTTTGCTTTCTCTATAAGCTGCCACAAAGCTCCGACAAAGTGAGAGATGGGAAGAGGGGAGAGCAGAGCTCTGCAGGGAGAGGAACGCGCCCGCCTGAACTCTGGCTGCTTGCCCCTATTCCCAGGTTCCTCCAAAGCTCAGATTGGTAAAGTCAGAAACAGCGAAATGTGAAATAACGCTGATCTTAATGACACTTTTCCAGAAATCTCTCCAGAAAATCACAGTGTACAGCCTGACAGTTTGCAGAGATATAAATACAATGCAGGACGTGGTTTTTATCTCTTACTAAAGCCAGTTTGGTTTTTTTTTTTTTTAAAAAAAAAAAAAAGAACAAACACAAGACATTGAGACGCAAAGCCAGTTTAAAATACAGTTTCCTGTGGTGCCAGAAGAAGGGTCAGATTCACAGATGCAGTCTCATGTAGTGCTCTTTATTTTGACTGCAGAAACATGTCTTTTTATTCAAGCACCCACATAATACTTTTTCCATGGAAATAACCCTGCAGAAAGCAGGCTGTGGGGTGTCCCAAATCTCCCTCTGACCCTGGACCCCCTCTTCACCCCCCTCCCATCTGCCGCTGGCCAAGCACTGCAGAAGCGACATCCCGACCTTGCCCAGACCCTGCCGACCCCGGCACAGCCGCCGTCCCCACAGGATTTTGGGGAAGTCACAGAATCCTGGAATGGTTTGGTATGGAGGGGACCGTAAAGATCATCTAATTCCACCCCCCTGCCCCGGGCAGGGCCCCCTTCCCCCAGCCCAGGGGGCTCCCAGCCCCGTCCAACCTGGCCTTGAACCCTTCCAGGGAGGGGGCACCCACAGCTGCTCTGGGCACCCTGGGCCAGCGCCTCACCCCCCAAACAGGGAACAATTTCTGCCTTACACCTCACCTAAATCTGCCCTCTTTTAGTTTAAAACCATTAACCCTTTGTCTTGTTACTACATGCCCTTGTAAAATTTCCCTCCCCAGCTTCCTCGTAGGTGCAGGTGGCCTGACAGGGGAAAGGGATGCTCCTGTGAACACACCGGGAAGGATCCGTCCCTCATCACAAATCCTGGAGCCCACTGCTGGTCTCCTGGACTCCCACAGCGTCCTTGGGCAGATCTCTTCTCCTGGGACAGAGTTGCCTTCCAAGAGCACTCAGGGACCAGGGAGCATCTACCCTGGGACACCACGGACAGGTCTGCTGCCGTCCTGTCCCGGTGAGCATCCTGCATTGCTCAGGCCACCGCTCTGCTACGGGGACCTGCCCGATCCACCATCCCAGCAAGGCTGGGGGGAGAGAGGGGACCCTCACGGTGGGGACAAGGCACAGGCTCAGAGGCAGCGGCTCAGAGCAGGCACCGACCTCTGAAAAGCTGAGTGTCCCCTTCGGGGGCCCTGGGCTGCAGGGTCTTGCCCGAAGGATGCATCCCTGTAAGGAACTGAAGGACTTAATGCCTCAAAACGTGCATCCACGCAGAAAACTTTGGCAAGCTGTGGCCTTTGTGGTCAGTCTAAGGGATGGACTGAAGGACAGCCGAAGGGAAGGAAGCACAGAGAGCACCAAAGGGTGCACGGCTCCACTCCCTCACAGCTGTGTTCCCAAATTCCCTAGATAAGCCCCAAAGCGGGGAGACACGCACTGAGTGAATTCAGATGTTTGGGTGAATGCCTACGCTCTGATTTACAGCTGTACCCTTGAAGGAGGGACAAAAACATTCATAAGAGAAAGGCTGGGTAAACTGCCCAAGAAGCAAAAGCTGCGGAAAAAGTAAAGGGGGGGGAGCACGGCCACTGACTCAGTCAGACAAGGGGGTGGGTGCACCCCGTCCCCCCTCAGGGCACCTGCAGAACCCACGTTCCACCTTTCCCTCATCTCTCATGGAAATGAGTTCATGGAATGCCTGCCTCTCTCGGTCTGGTATGCAAACCAGCTGATAAAATTAACTTAAAAGGCGACAGAAAATTTTGCTATGTATTCACCCACCACTCAAGATTTCCAGACCTGAGACAACGCTGGAACCTGGGGTGGTGACTGGACTCTTCCTCTCCTTTCCTTTCCTTTCTTTTCCTTCTTACAGATTTATCAATAAGACACCACATTGCTCACGTTCGCTTTGCAAGTTTAAGCTGTTTCTACCCCAAGTAAAACATTTTAACCAGTCCTTTGGTGTCGTTTCACCTTCATTTAACCCGAGGGGATGACGGAACCTTTACGACTCCCTGGGATCCCAGTCTGGGCCGTAACAGTCCCCGCTCCCCCAACCTCTGCACGGCAGGGACTGCTCAGGGTCCAGCCAGCTCCAAGGTGCCGTTGGCACAAACCAGCCCTTTAACTGGCAAAAATCACCCTGAGCGCAGGTTCTGTTGTTGAAATGTGTCGTGTCAGGTCAACCAGAAAAGTTACACAACTGTCGATTTTAGTGCCACTGACAAGAAGAAATGCTTAGATTCTCATGGTCAAATTTTTTTCTGTAGGCATTTGATTTTATGACTGGTTTTTTCAAGTCTCTAGAGCTCGGAGAGGTTGAAACTAAATGTTTTCCCATGAGCCAAACCCACTTTTAAACTTTTTTTGGTTGCCAGAGATTTTGAGCCATGATTTCATTCCGAACAGATCTAAAAATAAAATTTTGAAATCTTGCTTTCTTTCGTTATCGTCAAATAAATGAGCCCTCATCTGATGAGACGAGAGACGAGAACGCCAAGCTATTGCAAATTGCTCCTCACCACCCCCGGGTCATGGCCACGAAGGCCGCTTCCCCCACCGCCCCCGTCAGGTGAAGGGGTCCGTGCCGAAATGCTCCGGCAGCGCGGGCATGGCTGCAGCGATCTCTCAGCACATGCCCCACTTTCCTCAGCACTCTGCATCCACAAATGGGGATGCGCACCGTTCCTCTCAGGCCCTTCCTACAGAATATTTATGGTGCATCCACATCCTGAAAGAATTTAAAGTTCAAAACAATTGATTAATTTGCTCTCCAGTTCTAGGGGGAAGCCAGATCCCTTACGGAAGGGCATCACGAATTCTAATTATTCAATGAAGGCAGAAAACGGTTCTTTTAGATTAAAATGTTCTCCCCTTGTCACTGCCCTGCTTTCTCCTCTCCCGCACAAAATTAAACTCTGATTATGTCATCTCTACAGACTGGGGAAGGCAAAGGCATCTGCGATCTACTTAAATTTGGATGCAGAAGCAAAGTTCACCCTCATTACAACATTTTTAACTTTCTCCAAGGCCACTCTCACACCCAGCACAGGATCATTGTCAAGGGTGCTGAGCAATGGAGACACTGCTGGAGACACCAAGAAAAGTAGGATATCAGCTCCTGCATAAACCAAGACAGCATCACTCATGGTCTGTCCGTTTTCCATCACATCCGATTTCCACATTAAATGTTCTGATATCTGTTGACAAAACCTAATAGCCGGGTGACCACCCCCAGGCTTTGGGCAGGGGCTGGGAGGTGGCCAAGGGTGGCAAGAGGTGACCAAGGGCAGAGCTGAAAGTGCTTCAACCCCTCTCCCTCCCCAACCCCTCAGCTGCACCCGATGTGCTTCCCCCCAGAAAAAAGGTGGAGCATCCCCGTCTCTGTGAGATTTTCCCCCAACGTTGGCAAGCTTCAACTGCACCGAAATAATTGATTTCAGAGGAACACTAATAACCCTGGCACAAAGAGAGGATAAGAAGCAGGCTCCACCCTGAGGTGCTCCCACCCTATTCATGTAGGCAAAGCAGCCAAGAGGATATGAACACCTACGGACTAAGGTCCTTCAAGACACACATCCTCCTAACTGCCTCCATTCTGGGCTTTTTATAGTTTATTTTCAATGCCTAAGGTCAGAGATGGGGCACGAGTGTCTGCGGGCAGAGCTGCCTCCCCCCTTGCCTCGCTGGGCTGGGGCTGTGCGGGACAGAGCGGCTCAACTGCCAGCTCCAGCCTACGGAGAAGCTCAACTGGAGCAGAGCCTAGCAGGATTTTTCCAGGAACAACTTCTGCCAACACTATGAGGCCATTGCCTAAAGCTTCAGGTACCCAAATATCTTGCTGAGTCTTGCCCGTCCAGCCCCCAGAGGAGAAATGCCTTAGGGGAGAGGGTCTAGACAGCCTGCGCGAGGGAGGCTGTGTTCAAAACACACACCATACACCGTGCTTGTGTTACTGAAGGAAGAATAGGTCCACCTTCTTCAATCAGGATGCGGTGAGACTGGCAGTGTCCTTCCCAGGATGGGAGGCACGTCCTTTCCCCCATCACAGCTGGGTCCCAGTCAAACTCTGTCTCCTCCATAGGTGGTCTTGCCACGGATGCTTCCCATCACACCAGCAGAGTGAAGCTCCATCCCTTCCATGCCTTCAGCAGCACCTGGGACACCCCAGGCCCAGGCTGCCAATTCCAGCAGGATTTTCAGCCTTTGGCTGGTGTCAACAAATATTCTGGAGGCTCAGGAGAGCATCCAGCAGCCAGGGGTGACGCTGAAGAGATGGGCTGCCACCGCATGAGCATGGTGTGACACCGGTGACACGTGGCACTCCACTTCCTTGCAGCATCCTTTGTCTGCAAGCCAGAGAGCAAAGTGCACCATTCACCAGGACAGCAACTAAGCCAGAGATTAGTTTGAAGCAGGTTGATGGAGATACGGTAAAAATAGCAGTAACGCCGGAAGTGGCATTTGGACAAAAACGGTGAGTACGGGGATTATCCGCACTCCACAGTCCTTGATGCAGCATCACACAGACACAGGCAAAGAACCCCTCTTTGGAAGGCAAAGACACGGAACAGAAGAGACCTGAGGTCAAGAAGGTGAGAGGAGACTCCGTCCTGGAGATGAAGGTAGGGAGCTTGTCTTCAGTTTTCA